CAACTGTCTATAAAGTAAGCTCGCCATCTTTATTAACATTGCACGCTGAAGGAGAAGAAGAAAGAAGAGGCAACAGCAACAAGCAGCACAACAGCGAAAATCATTGCAATTTAGTTGTGGAAAACATTATTTATGCTTCAATGGCTGAGAGTAATGCTTGTTCTTGTTCTAGTTTGTGTTTATGTTTTGGAACTTGTTTTTGAATTGTTGTTGTTGTTATTATTTTTTACTGTTATTGTACGCTCTGCTCGTTGAATTATGTAAATGCTCGTAAATATTTTGCAATGATCATGTAAATTACGCTGCATTTTCCCATTTTACAATTCGCCTGTGACAACAACAACAAAAAACAACAACAACAATAGCGTCTACAAGCCGCCACTGAAATGCTTTGCAAATATTTGCGCAACAATAGACAGGATTACATAGAGGCAACCATGGCTTATGCTTATTTTCGGATTATGTATGTATGTACATACATAATTGCATGCATATATGTATGTATGCATATGTAGTTTTAACTGTTTTATATATCTCTTGTAATGCTTGCACATGCTTGTTTACATGTCCTTCAGCCACAAAGTGTAGTTACTCATGTTAAAGTGTAGATATGTATGTATGTATATATGCTTCGATACATCATTGCGAACAGAACTTCAGTGGTTTCGAAGCATATACATTTTTATACATTTTTTTTTCATATATATAATCTCAACTTTCTTCTTTTTTTTTGTAAATTAAAAATTTTTTTGAGGTTATGTTAAGGGAAGCCAGCCAAACCGGCTTCTTTTGATGAAAAATTAATAGTTTTAGCAAATATATTATTAATATATATTATTAAATATAATAATCCGGCTGAAATGGCTGTCAATTTCATATTTTCGACCCTTAGACCGAAATGAGTCCGTTTTAATGCCACGAAAAATGCTCACACGCAACATCTCCATACTCCTGGGCGCCGCTTAGTTTTATTTCTGTCACAACGAAAGGCGGAAAGGCAGATATAAAAGCGGACACTCATTTCTTCCTCCTCGTGATAACTGCATTTCTTCTAGCATTTTCTGAGAAGAGTCTATATTTTTTGATATGCTCTCCCGGTAGTAACTCAAATACCATTGAAAGGTTCTGCCTTTTCAAAAACTGTACGTCTGTTGAGCTTCCCTGTTTGCACTCTAACCGAGTATGTTTAGACTTGCGTCAAGACGAGTTTTGTTTCCACCTCGCTTGTGACGATAGACATCCCAATGTTTGATGATAACTTGTCTGGCAAAGATCGTCTGTTATGTCATACCATTCTATATGTTTATGTCCGGGAAACCCAACAAGAGATGATCCATCCGCTGACAAGGTTTATGATAGTTATTAAAGCTATCATGACAACGCTGTCTTGCTATCATCGACTCTCTGAGCACTCGACGCTAAAACTTTAGTTTTTGCCACATAGAATAGGATAGGGTTTGCAGCCTCTCTAAAATCTCATATACCTTTATTAGTTCGAACTTTTTCAGAAAGTTTAAGCCATTTGATCTTCCCGTTTCCATTTCGTGTAAGTATTTTCTATGGGGCTGTGTCAGAGAACCCAAACGGGAGCTAGTCCAACGCATTATCATGACAGAACTGTCTAGCTGTCTTTTACTTTTTGATTGCGGGGCTCCAATATATTTTACATTAGCCAAAAATACATGTAGTTTTCGGCCGGCTTGAATCAAAGCTCTAATGAGGGTTTATGTGAAAAAACACATCCATTCATCCTACTATTAAGATGAAAACCATCTGTGTATATTTCAGTAGTTCCAGCCGAGGTGTCATAGTTGCCCACTTGGCGAGGAATCAGCATTTGACTGTTCAGATGGTTGAACAATCTACCGTTTCTGATCTCTTAATCAATGAACCTCCAGCGCTACGAGGTTGTCAAGTATTGCGTTTAGAACTTGCTAAGATGGTTGATGGTTTTCTTCTCAGCTAATGCCGCACACTAACGGATAGGAAAATTCAGCGACAGAACTTTGGATTCGGTTAGTTAGTTGGTTGGTTTGTTGAAGTGCTGGCAGGGCATCAGCTCACTTAGGCCACCAGAAGGCGTACATTGTGATACTATTGAGGATCCTAATAATCCCCAGCAACCACTATCTCACTTAAGTCTTCAACGATTGCGAGACTCCCACTCATTTAAAGTGCGGTGCATTGCTTTTGCATTGCTTTGGAAGAGCTTCAAGCTTTCTGGTTTTTTTTGTCTACAACTTCTGTCATTACATGGTCATTATATTGTACATCCAAATTCTCTGTAAGCCTTTCCAAGAAAATATGTTCTGTAAGACGAAAATATGTCCTTTCTTTTCAGCTCAATAAGGTCACGTAAACTTCTTCTGCTCTATTCTGGAAACATGGTACTAGTCACATTACACGTATTGAGATTTTTTTGTATCTTGGGTTAGCATCCTTTTTGAATAACTCTTTTATAATAAGCTTACAAATGGAGAGAGGCATGACCTAACTCTTCAATGATGGCAAATTTCGCAGGGAAATGCCCTCCCTTACAAACTAGTGCGCCAACTCATTACACAGCGTGTTACAATGTCCGGGCACCCGTACCAGGTACACAGAGAACTTAATGGCTAAACCTTAAGTGATCTGCGGCAGTCCTCTACGGTTATCAATTTTACTATTACAGATTCCCGAGCTCTTAATGCGGTCTAGCTAGCCGTAATGATATGAATACGATCTTGGGATTTAACCTCTATCCTTTTCGATGGTTCTTTACAGTCATAGAGAGTGGTAGTGGCTTTCTTATATAGCTGAGTTATATGCCAGTCACTACTCTACAATAAAGCAGTGTGTGATTGAGCAGTCGACTAAAGGGGTCATGGTTACATAGTTTTTGAAATGCATAAGGTGCCAAGAAACGAGAATTCATTGCGACGCTGTAGAAATCAGTGGTTTGCATATTCAGAAAAATTTTAACAATTCAGCTGCTTGTTTGCCATCGCTGAAACCAAATTCATTTGAAAACTTAATACTGAGTAAATTAATTCATCTCTATTTGGTTTCGTTTGTTTCTAAAGTAAAAAATTTAATTTTTATTTTTACTTTACTTATTTTTTGGTTTAAGAAAATTTGTGCCAAAAAGGTTGCCAAAAGTCGAGTTCGGCAACTCACACAAATATTTTGCACTCTAACATTTTTTTATTTTCAAACTTTTACACCTCCTTCTCATTGTTTACTCAGACAAGTGACTAATTACATTTTATCACATACCAGAAGTGCGCCATTCAAAATCAAACGCAAGACCGACCGCACTAAACTGGCCCTTTTTTCAATTGCCTACCAAACAGCCAGCACATCAATCTTTCCCAACGCACAGCCTCCACTCATTTCGAATTGATTATTTCATTTACCCGCACACGTAAAATAAAACCAAAAATATTGCGTTACAAGTGCAATTAATTGTTTTGATGGGGCAATACCAGTGAATTTTGGTAAAAATTAATGTGAACCTTTCCTTCAAATGACACAGATTTTTTTTTTTTTTGGGAGTTGTTATTGTTGAATGAATTTGTATTAAATTGATTTTGATTGTATGTACTCTTGTATGCTTGTTTGTAGGCACTCTGTTTTAACTATAAACCAACCCTGTGTTTGAAGATGTTCGGCAGTCAGTTGAACCCTTCTGTTGTAAAAATAGCCCGAAATTTATTGCTGTGTGATTATTTTTGGTAGAAAAGGTCGGTAAATATTTTTGTATATACTACATAAAAGTATTTATATGTATATATGTACTATTTACTCGTAAGTAGGTATAAATGTATTTTGTTTAAGCACCATCGCTGGCTGCTAAGTGTTAATTTATGTGTTTTTTTTATGTAAAGGGCGTGGAAGTTGAAACTGCTTGCGGAAGTAAGCATGGTTTATAAAAAAAGGCTCCATAAATGCCACTTGCTATTTTTATAGCTCCATTTAAAAGCACATTCTCGGGCAATTAGTATTTCAATAAAATGAAGAGAATGGACAATGGTTTTCTGATTTTTCTATTGAGGGTATTATTGAGCAATCATTGCAATTTCTGTTTGCTCTTTTAAGGAGCTTAGTTAATTTACTTTTTTTGATACTTTTTTTGATACACTTTCCCGTAGTAAGATATATTCCAACTAAATGAAAAAATAAAATATCTAAAGCGATGCCATTGAAGGTGCTAAAACACCGATTAAATTCCTATACATTTCCCAGCATATCTGCATCTAGAGCTGAACTTCAAAACGACTAAAATTTCCGCGCTTATAGCACTTATCAGCCATTAACATTTGTAGCATCGTGGTTATTTGATAAACTTGAATTATGATTCATTTGCTCCCGATACGTTTGCTATTCAAAATCCTTTAAAATGTATATTTATTTAGATATTCAAATGGTCGACTGGCCATTAAGCATTTTATTTGCTTAGTGACAGCTGCGAACCTGCCTGCGGTTGTGAATTGGTATTGACGGTAAACTTGGTTGTAGCGAGTGTAGAACGCAAAATTTGTATATATTAGCAAACATAAATTTTATCCAAGCACCACAATGCATGCAGACATATTGTGGTATATGTAAACAAAAGCTGAAGTTAAATAAGGGTTATCTGACTGACAGCTTGGTAATTTTTGTTTAAATAATATTCTTTATTGATGATATCATATTGTTAATTGCATTCTCTTTTGTGGCTTATATTTTTTTTTTCGTAAACTTTTTTTTTTCTTTTTTGGTATTTATCTGCTGCGTCTGTGCGACTTATGAGTCTTTTAATTAATTTCGTCTGCTTCACATTAACTTAATATTTCTGGTAATTTTTCTTCTTTTATTAATTAATTTGGTTTTATTTTATTTTTGAATGACGTAAAGTTTACACTAACTTCTTTTGCTTTCTTTGTGATATTTATAAAACAAAAGCAGATTTTTTAAGCCGCAAAATAATCCAAGTTCTTTCTGGAACTACTACTCATATATTTAATATTATATTTTCACAGGTGTCATAGAAGCTTATTACGGAGTTGTTAGAGGCAAGCGTTAAATAACTGAGTATAGTCACGGGCGAGTCTTAAATTTTTATTTACACACACGATTTTGTTCTCAAGTGATGCCTTTTAATATACACTAAAATACATCTGTAATTTCCTGAAGAGCTGAGGAGCAAAAGTCTTACACTTTTCATATTCCACCTTGAGAAAGTTATTTTTTTTTTAAATAAATACTTCACATATTATTATAAATAAATATTATTTTCATTTGCAATTACAGAAAATCGTCCCCAATATAATATTTGTGCGTGCAAAATGGCCTCACCAAGTCAACAAATAAAAGAAAGAGTCGATATACTTGATAGCTGTTATCGATATACACAATGGATGCGGTTAGAATGAAATGTTAAGGCTTAGTGCACAATTCTAAGGCAATATAATGTGAACTGCAATATTATTAAATATTAATAAAAAATTAAAATTTTATTGTTGAAAAACTAAGAGAAAAAATAATGAAAAATGTTAAGGCTAAGAAATTAAAAAACAGAAATATAAACTGAAATTTTTAATGTAGAAAATTACGTAAAAACGAATGAAAATGTTAAAGTTCAGAAATAAAAAAATTATACATATAATATAAATTTTTTGTGGAAAATTAAGTAAAAAAATAAATAAGTTAATAGAAACGTTAATTTTATAAAGTATTAAATAAATGAAGTAAATATGAAATAAAACGGTTAAAAGAGAGAAAGAAAGATAATATTACAAAACTTTATTCTGCAATCAATTCGAAAGCGAAATAATGATATATAGCAAAATTGAATAATTTTTACTATCTAGTAAAAGCAATATTTGCAAACTATGTCTGCCGAATCATTATGTGCAATATTTGTACAAGGATTGGCACGTGCGCTTCTTTTGAAAACAGTTTTTGTTGCTATTTGCATGCGAAAATGGTGTTTTTTGTTTATTTTTATATGGAAAATGGAGGAATAAAAAAACGTGTGTTGACAAAAAAATGTGTATTGCATTATTGCAAGCGCACGATGTCGTTTTTAGTGTACCATACCGCCGATTTTCAGACGAGCTACTCACCAATTTGTGTTTTACCAACAAATGGAGGGACCTACAGTTTATTCTAAGCCACCTCCGAACGGCTGATGGTTATTTATGAGGGGCGTTTGTTTCATGTCAGAATATCACACAATTTATAGCGCATTTCTACTATCGCCATACGGAACTCTACACGTTTTGAAATCGCTTCCACCTCAGTTTACATTGAATTTTTACTGCATTCAGAAAATATTTGTTCCATACCAAGCCAAAAAAGAGCTTTCTATTCCTTTTTGGTTCCACTGCAGCCTACACAATAACAATTTTCCCAAAAATTCAATTTGGAAAATCTTATTGTTTCCACTTAACACTTCCATATCCACACAAATCTATTTTTATTACAAAACTCCTACGTTTTTCCCATTAAAAATAACACGTACACTTAAAAACTATTACACTTGTTACTACAATTGTGAATAGGCGTGTCATACACTCAAATAACACCACTTCAGCAGGTACAAAAGCAACTGTGTATGTTTTTTTTTGTTTGTCTCTTACAGTTGTCAAATACATGTCGTAACATGTTCGCTTGCATGGTGGGTGTTACAATATTACTGTCGCAACTGTCAATGCAGAGCAAAGCACAGATATACGAAAAAACAAATAGAAGAAAATTACAATGAAATAGTAACTGTGATATCAAATAAAAGTGCATAAGAGAAGATGATAAAATGTATGCAATGATTGCAAATACTATTTCCTCTGAACGACATTCCTACATATGTGTGTATATATGTACGTATGTACATACATATGTGTGTATGCGCCAAGATATTGTGAAATTTTAATGTCAATCGAAAAGCAAATATCCAATATGGCACAAAAGCAACCAAAAATCAAGACAGTGGCATGAATATATACATATATACATATATATATATATATATATGCAGGTTTGCTTATTTGTTTGTTTGTTTGCTTGTCGCTGCTTGTATGTGCTTGAATGTCAACAAAAAGTATGGCATCCGTAAAATAATCTCAGTACATGTGGTATGCTGTTTTCCGCATCATAGCATTTCAGTTCAATGTAAAATCAATGTGTCTACTATTGTGAATCGTTCATACGAACGGGCAAGAGAGTCCAACGCGATGTGTTGTACGAGTAGTAAAAAGTGCATAAGCAGCTGTGCAAGAAAGTAGCAGTTGTGCATGACAATGCAATCGTGGGTTTGAACAAAAATTTGTGCACAAGCACACATATGTACATACATTTCGAACCATTTGTATTGTTTTTCACATTTTGATGGGGCGTGTGTGTCACAAATGTGCAAATAAAAGCCAATAATACTCAAATAAACGGTTACTTTGATATTCTTCAAATAAGTACGAAGTAAATGTTAAGTGATTTTGGAAGCTATGACGATTGAATATTAGTTTTATAGTCAAACATAAGTGGAGAGTGTAAAGTGGAAATGGCACTTTTCTGTTTTTTAGCAAACGGAAAATGATAAACAAGTGGAAATTTTGGAGAAGAGCGATAGTTCGAAGCATTTAAACTGAATGCAACTCAGCTTCGGAAGAATCACAGTATCAAAGCATCGAAAAAGCTAGATTACGTCACTTCCAACTTCCGCTTTGACTATATCTGTTTCACAAGAACCCAGTCGATTATGTGATTCCCTCGTCAATGCTTTCAATTAAAAAGAACTTCTGACTACCAAGCAACTGTAGCGTCTTTCAAGTGGAGCTTATTGCAATGAAATTCAAGGATAGTGCAATAATTTATACTCTGACAGTTAACATGCCATTAGTTATCTACAATGGAACTACACAACATCAAAAAAGGGTGATAAAATGAAGAAGTACTGTAAGAAAACATTAAAAAATGCATCAAGACCGTGAGCTGTGCTCCCGAATGTAGCGACATCCCACGCAAACGAGGGGTGAACTCCGCTGGCAAGTCCTATCTGACCACTCTAACCTCAAAAGTTCGCTTGTGCACGATGCTTGCGTGTCTCTGTCGCGAAACTAGGCTTGGTTAAAAACACAAGATCAGATTGCGGCAGGAGGGCAGAGAAAGAAATGCACTACACTGGAAGGACCCGATGAAGAGTGCGCAGAAGAAAAAGAAGAAGACAAATAAGAAGCAGAAGACGAAGAAAAAAGTGAAGACAGAGAAGAAGACGAAGAAAAAGACGAAGAAGAAAAAGAAGAAGACGAAGAAAAAGAAAAAGAAACAGAAGAAGAAGAAGAAGAAAGAAAAAAAGGAGAATCGTTTCCAACAGAAACTGGTATAGTAACTAGGCACTACTTGCAGGAAATTCACAGTTTGAGAACGCAATACTTTGAAGAAGAGAAGGAGTGTTGCCGTCCAACCAGTGAACCACATTATTTTCTAGCAAAATTGATTTAGCCTAGAAACTAAGTGCACTCAAATAAGTCAAAGCGACTTGACTACGGACGCATATGCTAACCTTTATGTAAAATAATTCAATACTTAATTGGTCTTATAGTAGAACCCGGGAGTGTAAAAATACTACAGATAAGTATAAAGTCGAGTCATTACGAAGAGCACAGCGACTCGTCACCGAATTAACCAAACATGGAAATTTCTTGAGTGTAGCAACGACACTAACAACGATATACCATTCACATACGTTAACGGTTTGAAGTAATTCACAATGCACCACAGATGCTAGTTGGAGTAGTTCAAGAAAATGTAGAAAAAGCTCATTGCCGTCTTGTTTTCTTCTTCCAACACCGTCTGCCGTATCAAATTACTGAATGACTGCTTGAGATTGAGATTATTCTGATAATTGTGGGCAAAAGGCAGAGAGTCAAGATGCGAAAAACAGATATTGATTGAATTCATAGGACTTAAACGGATGCAAAGATAACAGATATTAGTCCCCTGTTGGAGCACTAAGCTCAACACTTTCATTGCTGCTGGGATTATTTGACTACGACCAGAGTATTTCCCTTCGCAACTTACTCATACACACGAAGAGAACTTGAAATAAATATTGATTTCTGTTGGAGCTCTAAAGGCGAAGCTGAGCCGATAGCTTCGGCGTCAACTTCCACGAACTTGAAGGAAGGAGAGATCTGCAATTTCCGCGGCGAAAATCCAATGAGTGATAAGCATGAGTCCTGTCCATTATTTTACTGCTTAACTTCACTTACATTCATATTATTCTTAGTTGGTGTCAGCTTGTGTGACAATCTCAAAAGGTTGCAATGTCGCTGTTGAGTCGAAAAAACGAAAATGTTCGCCGCGTGGTGCGAATCAATTAGGGATTAAGGCATGAACTCTCTTCCCAAACCTATACATTAGCATTATACATATATATGTACATATGCGATATATTTATATAATTTACGATATCCTTGTATCTCGAAAGCAAAGAAAACAAAATATAAAATAAATGGCTGACCTCTGAAATGATTCGTAGCCAACAGTTGGTTGGTTGGTTGGTTGGTTTCAACAGTGCCATTCAAGTGAAAGGAAAGCCATAAAAAGGCGCATCCTTACCATGTCTTTAAACGCCGCCTCAGTAATCAATTGCGCAGTGAGGGTATAAGAGAATGATTGAGTGCTTGCAGCAGAGCAGCTGAACAACAGCGCAGCAGCGCAGTACTTGGGATAACGCAATTCCAAATGCCAACCGCTAACCAACGGCAACGGCAACGGCAATAGCAACAGCAACAATAATAAAGAACCGCCGCAAAGAACCGAGGAGGCGTGGACGTAAACATAAAATTAAATGTGCCATGCAAAAGCCAAGTGAAAGCTAAATGAAACGAGAAGCGCGGCTAACGGCGCAAAAAGAAATGTACAAAAAGAGCTGAGAATATAAAGCAAAGGGGTAAAACTGTAAATTTATATACAGCTGTACTGTGATAGATACTCATTTCCGCTTAATGGAGGGAGAGGGAGAGAGAGAGGGAGCGAATTGTTATGTGTTCGTTGTTTGTTTGTGCTTTGCTTGTTGTTGTTTTTTTTGTTATATGATTTTTTTTTGCCTGCGCTGTTAATGTTATAGCTCTTTTGCGCATCACTTGCAAGCAGGATATTAAAAATAATTGTACAGTTGACAGTGGCGTATAAATCTTGATTCCGCTACTGCCATTGAGCTAAGGGAGCAAATCCACTACCGTTTAAGCTGCTTACTGCAATAAGCAACATAACGGCACGTGCAACGCTACAACAATTCGAAGTGTTGATAACTAGCAACCAAATGCTGCGTTCACGCACGCGTTAGGGTGAGAATTAAACAATTTTTTGTCACAAAAAAAAAAATAAATAAAATAAAATGAAACAACATAAAAATAGTAATAAAAAATAAAATAAAATAATATCAAGTAAAATATAATAAAATAAATTAAATTATAATAAAATAATAAATAAGAAATCGTAAAATGAAATAATTAAAAGAAAATAAAAGAATA